TTACCCCCAGCAGCAGTGGCGGAATCGAAAATATTTATTGGATTAACATAAACTGAATGCCTGAATTTATGGCCAAACTTCAGATTTGGTTTCAGTTTCAATGGCAGTCACATCTGGCAGTGTTAATTATTTGGGTCATGCTCTAAAATCTGGCCATTTATGGCTCTTCGAAAATCCTTTTTTACTGGAAAACTATAGCAATAAATCACACAAGTTATCGGAAAATAATGTGACGTAGGATTAGTAAAATTAAAAATGAATTATTCAAATAAAAGCTTTGCAACAAATGCTGCTTGATGTTTTTTATTGGGAAAATAATTGGTTTTCAATTATTCTTAATCGAATATGGTCCTTAATGAGCTAGAATAACATTAAACTATGAGTGTAGTTCATAGTGGTTATAGACGGAAACATAAATTCCCGTGACTGCGTGCAAGTCCACAATTAGTTTAAAACTTAAATTGATCTGTTCGAAGAAAACATACAATTATATTATACAAATTATTATTTGTGGAGGCCATGTGGCCTCTTAAGTCCTGCTGGGGGGCCATGACCAGTCGTTTTCGAGTACAGTAGAGTGCCTATGATTTGATTCTGTATTTAGTGTTAAAAACTGCACAACCGGCATGGCCTGTGAGTGCTTTGTTCGAAAACCGCCAGAGGGCCGCACACGGTATTTTTTTCCTACATGTTTGCAAAAGTCGAATACTTGCGGTTGGTGTCCATGCTAAGCTAACATGTTGTGGAACGTAAGATTGTTACCTTCCACCGGTAGATGGCTTGTGAATATATTTTAAAAACGAACATAAAAAACATTTTAATGTTTTTAACATTAATGTAATAGTAGTTTAGATTTTTGAATATGTTCGAATTATAAACAGCGTAACCTAACGTTGGATATGTTGGTTACATTAACCTGGTTGATCTGCAATAAAGACGAGGTTTAAGGACTCGTTTACCACATTAAGATATCTTTTAATCTTATTTAATCTAAAAAAATGCAAATTTTGAGACATTTTTTACAGTATATTTAAGCTATTCTTTATCGGATATGGAAAACGAATACCCTTTACAAATCGGGGCTTCAAGTACCTTCGATTCACTTCAAAATATTGTCAAAATCGGGGAATTCAATTGTGTGTCGATTTTTAGAAAAAGTTATGATGATATTGTAAATATCATGATATTTTTATGATATTGAAAAAATGCGAAATGTAGATTGTAGATGTAGATGGCCAAAATTGTGATGTTACTAACACACAAAAAATTTGAAAACCCTTTTTGACCCTTGGAAAAATTTTGAAAATCGGGTCAAATTTTAGTTGGCCATGTTTTGATGAGAAATGATAGTACTCGAAAACTTAAGATCGGGAAGGTATAACATTCGACGATTTGGCAAATATAAGCCGAATTATGGATGTTGGAACTTGACCAAAATGGCTATTTTGTCTTCCACTTTCCCTTATCCAGCTTGGTTATAGGATATTGCATCAAAGAATGTTATACGGAGCTAGTTAAATACATATCTATGTACATACATAGGGAGGTACATCTTCCATCTTTAAGGGCACCACAAAACTCAGATCGAAATTCAAGCTCCCACCAAGGCAGAAGGTAACATTTGTCAAAAAATAATGTCGCAAATGCGTGGGTGTCTCCAGTTCGTTTTTCCACATTCAGTGCGTCCGAGACAGAGGCACGTCAACGAAATAATCAACAAAGTGACATAAAAAAAAGGAAAAAGGCGAAGGACTAAGCGAGCGGCAGAAATGACATTGACGGCAGAAATGTGGACGGAATAAAATTTCATCAAAAATGCCACTGTCACAGGCACACTTACCGGGAACGGGGGAGGAATTGCAAATGGTTGGAATTGCTACTTTCATCTGGGTTCCGTTTGGGGTTCGGTTCACGGGAAAACTTTCACTCCGTAGTCGGCAGCCGACAGCCAGGGGATGGTCGACCGGGGGATGACGGTGAGAGCACACATCATATATGAGGATTTGCGGACCCTTCAGGCCTTCGGCTTGTCAAGGAGCTGTCAGTGGCAAAAACAAGAGGCACTCAGTTGGGCCGCCATGATGCGACTACAAAATGGGGAGATGAAATCCTCAATTTACCCGCTTGCCTACACCCCTGCCTTCCCACTCATTCCCAAAAAAATAGGTGTTGAAGGCCGTTCCGCTGGCTGGAAATTGTAAGTTTTGTAAAAAAAAAAAGAAAACCAAAAAAAAGACTGTCCCCGGACTGGGGTATTTTTCTTTCAACGCGAATAAAAATTCGAAACCAAACGAAGAAAAACGAAATGAAATGAAACTAAAAGAAATGCCTGCTGCATTGTGCAGTTTGATTAATGATCGGATGTCAATTACCGCAGATACTTATGCTGCTCGGCATCCGAAAAGAAAAACTTGCAAATACAGGGAGAAGTGTATTGTACAATATACATACAAATACAAACTATATGGTATATAGACGGGAGTACTTAAAATACAAAATAAAATATATACACATTTGGTTAAAAATATATTCCTTCTATAGTTCATTCTGTAAACCATATCCTTTCAAAACAATTGCAATTTCCTCGCTCATCAATGAATTTTCATGCAATTTTCCATTTCCTGCAAAAACTACAAGTTTTCCTAATATTTTGAGTTGCTTTCTGTGTTTCTATTTTTCTCGACTTTTGACTTTTCACAGCGGCAGTCTTGGAGAAAATATCCTTTCGGGTAATCCAGTCTCATCCTCTTTCATCCCGGATTATCCCAACAGAAGTCAAGGGACACGGCCCGGCCCACTGTCTCAACCCTTTGAAGGCAGGATGCGAGACCAGGTCCAGGCAGATCAAAGCGAAACAATTAACTGCGTCTACTGTTGCTAATTTCGGTGGATCGGCATACCCTTTTTGCATACGGGTTCGAAGGGCACCGCCCACCAAACGCCCACGCGACGTCGGGCGGCGCAAGTGATGGGATTAGAACGGTAAAAGGATTCGCAGGACTCGTGCTGAGCTACAGCTATAGGGTCTCCTGTTTGACTTCTCCTAATACTCCGTTTGAAAAGTGCCGCAGGACATTTTCTGTCCCTACTGGCTACCGTTTCAGTCAGAGGACGAATTCTGTGCAGATTTCTAGGAATTATCCGACTAATTGTGTTCACCTTGCCAATTAGTAGGCCATTTAATGGCAAAACAGCCCGGAGCCAAAACAAACACTCCGAATCAAAAAGCTGAAGAATCTGAAGAGGCATCAATTCTCATTAACTTTGAATTGGAAACAAATTCCAAGGGACAATGCCGTGCGGCCGCACATATAAATCAATGTGCAACCAAGGCCAGAGCCACAATTATGTGCAACAATGCAGCTCAAGTGTGGCCCTCGGCAGGAATCAATCAAGTCTCATCACTCAAGTCGATACTCTCGAGTCCCCTTACCCACTTGGCTGGCCCTTTTTCTCTCCTTTTTCGATTTAATTAATGCCTGGCCATTTATTAAATTGGCAGCTTAGTTCGCTCGCCCGCCACACCTCGACCATCCGAGGGAGCCTGCGGTTGGTCCTTCGCCCCAGTGGCCCGCCTTGCGTGTTTGCTGCGCTTGCCTGCAACCGATCCAGCCTAATTTGTAACCATTAACCCATGTATTATGTTATGCCATGCCCCTCCAGGCCATCTCTCGATTGGCTCTTTGAAGCCGGTGCGGGATATAAATGGCCAGATGAATGGCTGCGCTGAGTTTTGTCTATTAAATATCATTTAGAACAAATGGTTGCCGGATTTGTGGTTCTCGTCAGATGTTTACAAAAGGTGTGAGGACGTTTTGTGGTGGTTAATGGATTATCGAATTTTCCTAGAAACCTACATTTTGTGGGGTTAACTAGTTCTTATTTATTTACTTAAAAAAGCTTATACTCAAGCCTTAAACCCAATCCTGTATTGTTACGAACTGTGTGTGGCGGGCTATATTCCAGGACACGTGACAAGTGAAGCTACCGTTGCTCGTAATTACGAGCGATCTCCTGTCTCCTCTTCCCTCTTCCTGTCAAGGTGTTAAATTATTCCCCTAACACGTGCTCATGCTCTCGTAATCACTTTGAGCTGCTAATTTCAACTGCTTCGTCTTCGTTGCCATCACTTGCGTTCCGGTCGAGGTATAAGTAGGTCTTAATCCTTTTATCGCTGGGACCGAGTGCGCGCAATTTCCAGTTTTCAGACCCCAAGTCCCAGAACCGAACCGAGCCCCGAGTTCTTCCTCGAGGAGCTGGCCTGATCATTTCGCAATGATAAATTAAGCGCTAAGAGTGTTTCCATGTACCCGCGAGACAATCCACTGTCAGGGACCGGGGGTAGATTGATTATATCCCGATGTTGCTGGACACACTCCTGACTGCCTCGTTGGGACTAGGGTCATTGTCAACGCAGGCCACGCCTGACCAAGCAGCCACAATTCGCAATAGGACCCGATCGGATTCGAGCGAAGTGAGCTAAGACCAGTTTATCGCACACACTACTCCCCATCGAAGCAATCGGGAGGATCCGCAGGCCAGGGAGATGATTTCTTGATGTTGAACATATTTCCAGAAGCCAACAGGTGCCAATGGGCTGTGATCAATCATTGGCGAATCGATTTTTAATTAAGAACTCTTGTTAGCATTTGGCCAACTTCACTCTCTCCGGCCCCATCCGGCCTGATTGCCAACAAAGGCCTGTTGAATTCTTTATCGCGAAAAGGAGCTGAGGGGATACTGGGATCCAATCGATTCAGAATGTGGCTACCCAGCAGCGTTTGGGCAATGATGTTTAAATTTGTCCTAATTAGTTGACAATGACCGATGATGAATCAGCGGATCTTCTGGTTGGTGTCTCGTGTAGGCGGGTATTTATGAATCAGGCAAGCTTGGAAAACTATCTGAAGTTGAATAAGGTCTTTTATTTCCCCACAAAATAAAGATTCAAACCAAAAAACACAATAATTTCATTCAAATTCAGTTTATTTTGGTTTCCATGTACATAGTATTCTCTCTATTTTTAAATACGCATGTCTTATTTTTGTTTTATTCATAAAATATACGTACGAACTTACATACACCTAAGGACGCACAACAAATGCCAACTACACTCAGTAATAATATTCATTTTTTAAAGTTAGTTATACAAATAAGCACTTCTATACTACATATAGAAACGGTATGTATGTATGCCACTTAATAGCTATGACGAATCTTTTTATAGGATTTTTACAAAACTCTTATACCTGAATCTTACGGAGCTTAAGTACAACTCATATACATATAGCTTTTATAATGCCCCTGTAATATTGGTGAGGGGCATTACAGCACTATGCCATGAGGGTTCCTTTAACTAATGGTCGATCCTTAACTAGACTAACTAACTACATTCACTGTATACTCCGATTTGTCCTTAACCTTGTCCAAGTACAAGGCGGGGGATTGGTAACGAAAAAAAAAATCTACAAAGAAAGCATGGTTTTCAATTTACAATTCTGAAGATCTCTTAAGGATTCTCCGGCTTCTCCGGCAGGATCCTACAGGGCCGTCAGGTCGTAGTCCTGTTTGATGTGTAATTGCAGATTGGTCATGAGATCGGATTGTTGCTGGTGGTGGCCATGGAGGTTCGTGTGACCCATTTGATTGTTGTTGTTGAGGTTATTGTTGTTGTTATTATTATTATTGCCGCCGTTGTTGTTATTGTTATTGCTAAGATGTTGCTGAGATCCCGCATAGGCGTTACCCGTTTCAGGGGCCGCCGGTATGTAAGGAGGATTTCCCAGCGACGAGCTGACATCGCCAATGCTCTCCAAGCTATCCGAGCGGATGCACTGCAAATAATATATTAAAAATATTAATATTATACTAGTTTTTTATGAATGCTTTTAAATGATAGGTTCCCTTTAATCTTCCCCACTTAGACACCCAAGAATGCCAATGGCAGAACGCACAACTGCCAAATGCAAAAATAAATATTAAGGCGGAGCTCCACTTTAAGTGCCTCTTCCTGTTGACTTTCAACACGCTCCACTCACCTCATTCATCACCGGAGTCTGTTGCTGCTGCTGCGGCTGTTGCTGTTGTTGTTGTTGTTGTTGTTGTTGTTGCGATTGCTTCTTGGATGCGGCCCGCTTGGTGGCCTTCTTGGCTACTGGTGTTGGGTTGCCGTTGGCATCCACCGTCTTCTTGCGAACGTTCTTGGTGTTCGGCAGCTTGTTGTCCTTCTTCCACTTCATGCGACGGTTCTGGAACCAGATCTTGATCTGCCGCTCCGACAGCACCAGCGTATGGGCGATCTCGATGCGCCTCCGACGCGTCAGGTAGCGGTTGTAGTGGAACTCCTTCTCCAGCTCCAGGATCTGGTGGCGTGTGTAGGCGGTGCGTTGGCGTTTCGGTTCCATTCCAGGTTGATAAGACCCGTTTGCTGCACAGAAAATAAAAGTTTTCAAATTAATAATTGAAACTTGAATATTTTAGCAAAAATATTGTTCGACATTTTTTTTACGTGGAGTTCCAAGGATTTGCATAATTAATGATCGACAAGAAACAATACGGAGAGGTGAGAGTGGGGGCACCACAATTAATACACTTCAAATTGCGTTTCATAATCGCCCAAGTTCTCAATAAATCTCCCAGATAAGTTGACAACCCTTAAACAGCCCGCTCCCGAGTTACTCCCGCTTTCACCTTGAAACCGGTCAGACGGGAGGGGTGGGCGTAGAGTTTGGAATGGGGGGAGGAGGTCCAAGGGTTGGCCAGCGGGCACATGAAAGACTCCTGACAGTTGGGCTCGCGGATAATTAATCAAAATCAAATAGCGCGCAACTGCCAGGACGTCGGGCATGTCCTTGGGCCTCCCGAAAAATTACGCGGCCGCATTTAGTTTTGAAAACTGACTTCCTTACCGAAAAACTGAAACCCATCCGAGGGTTGCATCCTTCCGCTTTCCCCCCTTCCAGTTTCTTACTCGATTTTCTTTTAATTTTTATCGCCGCCAGATAAATGCCTCGCACCTGCCGCCCGGATGCCGTCGGACGGATCCGTCTGCCCCCACCAAGTCGGAGATGGACATCAAATGTATATGCGCTCCATCAATTTCAATTTGACGCCATCTCCGCTGATGTTTCCATCAGAATTACACCGCCCTGGAGTTGTGCATTTATAAAAATTTCATTGCTCTGTGACAGACAGCTTTCGATTTGATAGAAATATTTCAATCCCAGCACGGACCGACCCGGTCCGAAACTTAGATTAATGATACAGTGTCCAGCCGACCGTTGACAGGCCCCCAAACATGGGCGGGGCCTATGGTGGATAGTGGGTTGTTGGGTGGTCCATCGGAAAAAATGGACTAACATGGGTCACCTCATTCTAAAGAACAGAAGGGAGCAGATGCGCTTAAGAGCTGCTGACATGTTTTTATTTCTGTGGGGGGGGAAGAGGTCAAGCCATGTTCAAGGTTTACAGAAACCTTACAGGAAGGACTCTTGAAAGGGAGGAGGAATATCATTTGAAAGTTTCATTATACTATTGGGAATGTCATCCCAGAGGTTTTCCAATCAAATGTAGCCTGCAGAGTTAATGTTTAAAGTTTAGTGATGGCTAACTTACAAGCTATGATGGTACTTGTATTTAATATATATTCTAAAAATCCTATACCATCTGATATAATTTCTTTTAAATAATTATCAGTAAGACTAATCCATCAATTATTTATTTCGACTTGAAAGCGAAAACACAAAACACAACATGGCAGGAAATTAAAAAACAGAACCCCAAAAGGAACAGCAATCAAAACGAAACACACCAACTGCAATATCAATTACAAAGACCCCAAAGGAGCAAAATAAAAATTATAAAAAAAAAATACAAGAAAGATAAGGAAAACAACACCAATATAGCAATGTCAGCTGCTGCGTCGGCGATGGCGATGGCGTTGGCGGCATGCTGCGTTAATTCGTTTTTAATAAGTGCGTATCATTTCATTTCAACATTTCAACGAAACTGCCAGGCCCAAAAAAAAAAATTGAGAGGAAGAACCCAGCCAAGGCGAAGGCGAAGTTCAGGCCAGGCCAAAGGAAAACGCCAAGTCACGGCCAGAGCCGAAAGGAGGAAAACCAAAAAGAGTGCCAATTGCATTTAAAACTGCCAAGAATGGCAGCCAATTTATGAAAATGCCAAATCATACAAGGCCAAGGAAATCAAGATTGCGCAAGCCATGGCTGGGGGGATCTGCTTTTGGAAGGGGGTTCCTTGCTGGAAAAGTGCTAAAGAGCTGGACTAGCTTGAATGGCGCCCCCGAGGGAATTGTATGAGTTCCCTCCCAGACCCCGACTCATGCTGGAAACTGTTGTTGGCTGTCGGCATGTTTGTCCCATCCGAAAATTTTATATGATTTATCATGCATTTGTGACTCTACAGTTTCCATCAGGCACACCGCGAGCTGGAATGAGCTGGGGAGGCGATAAAACTATGTCAGGCATTATTTCATAATCCCTTATTGTCTGGCGGCCTCATTTGTGGGCTTAAGCCAACCCGATTTCGAGGTGCGGTGGCCACCAGACAACTTCCGGGCTTCGATTATCCATCCACCTTCATTCATTTTGCATTTCTCGATGGAGCGATGGAAGCGAGAAGCGGCTTGAATCCAAATGATTAATCGCCGGACGAGTGGGGGTACCTATGTAGCTATGTCTGGTTAACCGTCGAAAAGAAATTTGACTCGTGCCAGCCCCAAAACACAACTGCCAGACATAAAAAACAAATTGTAATGAAAATAGAAAGAAATCAACGACAAATATTTAACGGCTGTCATAATTCATTTAAAGAAACATTCATCACAACCTTTTATAGCAAAAGGCACAAAAAATAAAAAGAAACCTGTTCACTTATTAGAGGAAATCGCATTTGCGAATGCAGCCACCTCAAATAACTAACAAATGGCAAGAAATTAATTTTCGGTCTGCACTAATGAATGCCCGAGCGGAGATTGCGCATACGCCGTGTTATCCAGCTGGGTTCTAAGTTTAAAACTTTACGCGGAGCTCGATATTTTCGTTGTGGTTGGTATTGTGTTTTTTATTTTGTGTTGTGTTGTATATTCTGTTAGTAAAGTGTGTGAGCTCATGGCAACAACAACAACAACAAAAGCACGATGAAGAAAAAAGGCAAGTCAACATTTCAACAACAGCGGGAGCTGCATCAGCAGCTTGTCAAGTGACTTGCAATTTGTGGCAGGCAAATAATAAAAATAAACATGATCTCATGCTACTTACATATGTACGGGCAGAACACCCAAACCCCTGTATATATAAAGTACATATGTACGAATACTTATATGCTAGAATCGTGTATCCAAAAGTAAAGTACCCGCAGCACTTGAACTGGTTGGCGCGCTGTGGGAGAATTGTTCTCCAACTCTTGAATTTTGTTAATTTAAGCGCAAATACTTTGGGCTTAAAGCCAAATGCATAACTAAATGAAAAAAATATGTTAATTTGAGAAGCATGGAGGAGGTTTAGAAGGGAATATAAGATACTCCTTGGGGCAGCTTTAGTTTTCCCCCTAAAATGTATCTATTACTCACTCCCATGACGTCTGCAAACACCATTCGTTTCACTTTCGATCCACGGTCTCAGCCAAGTAGCCAATCGAATGGCCATCAACCATGTTATTCAACTAAGCCGAAAACTTAGCACTTGTCCCAAGACGGAATCGTTTTGTTCTGCCAACGAATGGAGCCGAAAATCAAGCGAAACCGACACCAAACTGCAGAACACCAGAAGATAGACAAAACCAGCTAAGAAGATCACGACTCTAAGCCCGCCACACAATGGAGTCTGACCAGAGCGACCTTGAAGATTCGTTGCTTTCGACAAAAGAACGCGCCAGTATTCGTAGTTTTCATGTAGCCAGTTGGACAATGGACAGAGTGTGGCAGCAGCAATAAAAGCTCCGCTAATTAAAGCCAATTTCAATAATTTGCACAGCTCCAGAGTCCGGAGAACTTTATTGGCGTAAATTGCCGAACCAAAACAGAGTGAAACAGAGGGGGAGTGAAGGAGAAAGAGCCGCCACTCACCCGCCACTGGCCGGGATCGCTAATTATGCTTTGTGAAGAATCCAGCTGAGACTCAGCTGTTCGTGCCCCATCTGTCATAAAGGCGAACTTCTTAATTTTTACTGCGTCATTTTCATCATTGTCATGCCCTGGGCCGCCGGTGACTGCTCCACCGGCCACCCGGTCACCCTCTTGCCCGATTATCCGCTTTGCAGTTTTGCACAAGGCGCAAATCCAGCTGAGTTTCCAGCTACAGCATCTGCGTCTCGGCCTGAACCTCGCATATCTGTATCTGTGGCTTGCACTTTTTTTTTTTTTCGCCCGCCGAGGAGGCTTTTCCGCAAGTCATCGGGTAACTGTGACTCTCGGAGTCTCAGACTCTCAGGCCTCCGCCTCAGCCTCCGCTTCATGGTGGAAACTTAATCGTGGACTTGCCATTGAAATTCAGTTACAAGGCTGTTCACGTTTCACTGTTCATTGAAAGCGGCATCGACCATACTATATGTATATCGGTGTGATTCTCCTTACACAAACACAGAGCTTGTACGGGTTTTAGCCGCCTCATCTTGGGCCGTTTGTCGTGCATGAAATCAATATTTTGCCAGCCAAGATGTTTTTGAAACTTGATTTTGTTAAATAGTTGCAACAGTAGACATCGTATTCTTTCAAGAATATAAGTATCTCTTCTCTAACCTTTGCATTTGCTAGGGTTCTATTCTTTCCAGCCCATCTCTCTTATGAATTGATTCCGATTTCATTAAGTTTTCATTACCTTTCAACACGTTAATGGCAACTATTAAATAATCCACAAAATTACTCTCCAAATTCGTTTCACACCTAGGCCCAGCTTTTGAACAAGTTTTAGGCTCGCCTTAGGCCAAAATAAAGAAAAACAAAATAAATTGGGCAAGAGACCACACGCCACATCCGTGGCATAGTTCGGGCCTTAGTTTCGGGCCAAGTGCTAAGCGAGTGTAAGTCATTTGTAAGGGAACAACATGACACCGGCGACGGCAGGAGAAGGGGGACAGGTTTTGGGGCATAACGAGAATGAGGCTGAGATGATGCACTGGCGATAATCAAGTTCGTCTTGTTCTCCTGGTCGTGCGCTCATGATAAATGTCACAACATTAACATCAAATGACACGGACCATCCGTCACTCAGTCGGAGTTTTGAGTCTCAGATGGGAGGGGGATTGGTATCGGAGTCGGAGACAGAGTCTCATACCTTGCGACTGTGTCAAACATGCCCCTGAGCGATCGTTTGTCCGTCTGTGGGACAGACCGGACTACTTCGATTTTGGATTTTCCATAATTTTGGTTTTTGGAAGACACATGAAATAAAATTTTATAGATAACTACAATCTAATACAATATTATTTATTTAAAATAAAAACCAACTAGTCCCAATTCTAAAGATATTCTGTCAAGAAACCTTTTCAAACATAAACCAGAATATTCATAACGAACTCTAGTTTTTTTCAGTGTTTGGAGTCAAGTCCCCAGTGCCTCTGAAATCTGGAGTGGGAAATGGGAACTGATGAACCGAGGCGGCATTTGACAATGAACGAGTCCGAGTGGCGTTAAGCGAAACATTATAATTACCCATTTGGGTCAAGGTTATGCCCAAACTGGAGTACTACGACGCTGTGCTAATTAAAAAGCAATCTATCAGCCATTTCCCTTGCCACCTGCAGATCGGCTAGTAAATGCATTCGTCACCTACTAGACGCCGCAAGGCATCCATAATGCCCATTTTGCATTATTAAAACAATAAGCGACGACAATCGCCAAACGCCAGTTGGTAACACACTCGACTCATGGCTGAATGAGTTCCCTGTTTTGGGCCTCGCCGACAATTAAGGGTAATTATCTCTACCAGGCACCACATCGCAGTGTCAACTTCAGCGAAGTTGGTGGGGCCCATTCAGTCCTACTCCGGATCTGGTGAATGGATCGAGTGGAAACCTGTTCGCAGCACACGAACACACTCAATGGTGCATTCATAACGATCATAAAAGTTCTGCTCAATGTGGTAATGGACTGAATCTGAATCTGAGTCTGAATCTAGTGGGCTGGAGCCCTCAATCAGTGGGACGGTAAATTGTTTTATTCATTTTAATGAGGCTATGAGAAAATCGACAGTGTTTTTCCACCATCAAGTTAAAGAACTTAAATTTTATAATTATAACCATCAAACCATTAAAATGTAGTTTGTTTTTGTGCTTTAATTTTTATGGGAATGGTGTAAAATCTGCATTCCTTGGGTGCACTTTATGACATGTCAATTGGCACCATGCCGCTCAACAGCCGACTTTAAGTCGCTTCGAGTGTTGAAAGAACCACTGAAGAGGCCTTATTACAAGGAGCTACTGGGAGTGCTGATTGGAAGTGCAGAGGAGCCACTACATACACTCAACGATATGTGCATTGTACTTTGCATATAGGAGCACTACGTACAGGAACTTGTCATTTGGTGAGCACAGTTCGCCCCTCGACACAGGGCGTGGCACTCTTGATTTTGATTAATGAGCTTTCGAGTCGCAGTTTTCTTTTTTTTTTCTGTAACTCGGTCGGCTGGTGTCTTTAGCTTTAATTTTGTTTATTTCCATTTGGCGTTTTCGCCAAAAGACCCAACATTACAGGGGCCTGTCAGTGGATCAAGTGGGTGTTGGCAGCTAAGTAATTTAATTAGCATAACCCGAAAAATGGGACCTCCAATGGGGGGCTAAACTTAAGGGAAATGGGCGGAAACTTTCAACTTACCCACTCCCGCCACATGGATCTTCTTCATCCAAGGGTAGATGATTCGTTCGCCGTCAGTCGTCTCCGCCATCAGATCGTCGTCGCTGTCTGAGTCCCCGAGATCATCGTCGTTGTCGTTGGAGCCCAGCTCGTCTGGGGATCGATCCAACATGAGGCGATCCTCCTCCGACATGTCGTCCTAAACAATTCAATCAAAACCTTGATTAAGCACTTTTTCAGGAATATGTTTGTCTGTTTGGCGGTATTTACATTTTCGGATCCCATATCATCACAGCGCAATCGCATTCCCAGCTCTTGCAGTTGTTGGCCGGCAGGTACAGCTTCTTCAATGCGTTTCTCCAGTTTTAAGCCTGTTTTTAAATCAATTTAAAATATAATTTTTTATTAAGGAATTAACACATTTTTAAGGTTGTTATTATGATTATTATACGTATTATAGATATTTATTGAAAAAATGGAATAAAGCTTTGGTACTTGACTTGGGAAGCTCTATTTCTATTGAAGGATATTATTTTCATATTTATTAACTTTAAAATATGTATCTTTGATATCGAAACTTATAACCTCTGTACCATGTTGTTTAAGTTGATAAATAAACTAACGAATGTATGGAAATTATTTCACCAACAATTATATGTATTGATTTAAGTCTAAAAACATACAATCTTATATATTTTGAGACTTGTAATCTGGGACTAAGACAATTTCATAACTTACAAGTTATGACTTACAACTTACAACTTTACTATAAGTTAGGACTATCTTTCGATATGGCGGATAACCGCGAATATAGGGAATAATAAAAGGATATTTTTAATAAATTTTATGTTGCTATAAGTAAAGGAAACTATACCCTATTCTAAAATACTCTAATACCTATTAAGACCATTAACCCACCTAATTCTTGCAGCCCCAGAGCCGTGTTCGTGGGCGGTTCCGTGGAGGAGCATTGCAGGGGCAGGTCCATCATCTGGGAGTGGGGCGAGTGTCCTTGGGAGTGAGTGCTGCCCACGCTGCCGTTCGCCGCTCCGTAGCCACCACCATAGCTGCCATAGTAGCCATTTCCCGAGCCACCTATCGCACCGCCACCGCCACCACTACCACTACTGCTGTTCGGGACGTTTACGGCCGGACCGTAACCGTTCGAGGGATCGGAATGCACCGCACCGGCGGATATGAACTCGGGGGCATGGTGGACATAGTAGCCAAGGCTCTGGTGCGGGTGGCCGTGTGGATGCGTGTGGGAGTGCGGATGCGAGGGCGGAGTGGCGGCTGCGTAGTTGGAAGTGTAACCTCCGGCGGATGGCTGGTGGTGCCCGGAAAGAGCGCTATTGCTGTGGTGATGCGGCAGCGAGTGGGCATGAGAATGGGAGTGGCCGTGCGGATTGTGGTGGTGAGCCATGTAGTCGCTGACCATATCCGCCGGATGCATGGCATGCGGATGTCCCGACATGCCGGCTGCCCCGCCGCCACCAACCGCACCGCCACCTGTGACCGCTCCGCTGCCGACGGCACCGCTCATGTGGCCGGTGGACGCGGTCATCGAGTAGTGGCCATTGTAGTGGTGGTAGTCGTCAGCCACCGGCGGAAACTTCGGATCCAGGCCATTGCCCATGGACATGGGGCTCTGGACGTGATGCGGGGCGTGGGGGTAGCCCATGAGGAAGGAGCTCATGGCTGGAGGTCTCGGCGATCTTGCTGCACCAATAGGACTTTGTTGTTTTTTTTTATTTTTTTATTTTCACAACTCTTCTTGGGCACTTTCACTCGATTCGCACATATTCTGTAGGTTTGGCTCTTGGTACAGTAACTATTGGTTTCGTGAACAATTTTTGGTGTTTTGGACTTGGCTTATTTATTTTTAAGGACTTCCTCCTTATATCCTTAAGATACTTATTGTATTTAGATTTTGCACTTTTGTTTTGGCACTTTTTTGAACCCCAACTTTTGGATCTTTGCCGTTGGGGCTTGTATTTTCGATTTGAAAACCCTTTATTTTGATTTTAGGGAATTGAAAATTGTGGGGAAAAACACACACACTGCGAGAAAAGTCGGACGCGTCTGAGTCACGAGTGCGCTGCGAACACGAACCGTTCCATTCGAGCCGTTCTTTTGTTATGGTCCAGCACGCGAGCTCTCCGTGCGAGCGAACCTGTTTCGCGTACCGCCGTTCTCTGCCTCTGCCTCTCAACGGTGCTCGGTCTCGCTTACACTCACCCACCGCCATTGCCGTCGCATCGCCATCGAAACCCGCTCTACGGGTTTTCACTGCCACAACACACAGCAACAACAACAACAGCAAGAGAAACCTCCGAAGGACGGCCCACACACGCGGAGCAGTTGGAATGAAACGGAAAACGAAACGGAAGGGAACTGTGCGGGGCAGCAGCCATGGCTCGGTCTTCTTCTTCACTCCTCGCACGCCATTTTCCACCACCGCTCTTTTTTATGGCAGCGAAACAGAGATGGCAGCAGACGGAAAAGCGAGATGGCAGGACTGTTGGACACACCCATTCAATGTCGGGGTTCTCGGGTAACAGGCAAGGCTCAAAATATTGGGAATACTTTAAAAAGATACTTATTGAATATATAAAACATTGTACAAGTTTTTAAAAATCTAAACAAATTCAAGATTATATAAGCAGATTATTGCTTTTTTTTGCTGTCTGTGACTATTATTTTTTTAAGTTGTAAAAAAGAGTAAATAAATTACTATATTAAAATATCATTTTAATGTTTAAATTACATGCTTTCTTACTACCAATAAAAAAAAAAACAAATTTGATGAAAAATTTTCATTGAAAATCCCATGTTTTCCCAATAATTCGGATAAGTTCTGAGGAATGTGAAGCTTCCGACACCACTGTAAGACACTGTGCCCCTTTTCAAGGCAACGATTGTTCACCACTCACAGATACAAATGGGGGCTGAGTGTGTGTTGGTGGCATTCTACCGCCATGGCGCACGCTCGAAAAGTAAAAACGCTACGAAAAAGTCGTCTGGGGCCAAGCACCGCCCATTTTCACTGGCTTTCATCGATCCCGGACTGGCCAAAAGTGTGGATATGGACTAGACCATTTATTTTCGAATCTTTTGTTGAGAACGCGGTTCCACTGGCCAGATGCACCAGCCCATGGGCCAAAATCAGTATCGATCGCCGGAGCCACCATATGATACGATATTAAATGACGATTTCCACGTCTGAAAATCGGCTACCGAGTTGAGGGGCTGACTTGCAATAATTTCAATTGAACAACGAACGAATATCACTTTGGCATAATGTTCTCTTATGTGATTATTGTTGTGGTCTCGCTGGGGGGGGGAGGCTGTTATTGTTGTTATCATTACTACCGTGATTTTGCCTTTGATGTTGTTGTTGTGATGACTGGCGATGACGGGCAGATATTCAAATGAAGCGACCAAAACATGGAAAATCGATAGAATGATTGTTGTATAATGCACGCCAGAAGGTCGGGCATTTAACGCTTTAATATTGTTTTTTGTAAATATTTAGACTCGCTCGCCATAACTCTTCCCCTTTCGAATGTTTTTAAATAGAAAAGGTAGAACCAACGTAGAGTCAGACTTCTGGCATGTGTGGCTGGCTGTGACTCGGCCTAATTGCCGAATAATTGAACCCCCTTAGATGCCACCCACCTAACAAACATACATATATGTATCTCAACCCGTTCTCAATTGGGTCCACGTGCTGAGCCGCCTCCGACATCAGTTTCATATATTTTCGGGGAAAGGGACACAGGAGGCGAGCTCACTAATTAATCGACTTCCAACTGATTCGATTTTGATGGTCACCATCAAAACGTCATTAGCTTCGTTAAGTGAATAAAACTTAAATTTAGTTTGCGGCTCATTCGGTTGAATTGGATAGGTGTGAATGTTGGTTTAGGGGTTCATTTCATGTTAAAGAGTTTGACTTAATTGACACGAAAGATAACTAATGGAACTAGCTTGTTAACAAATAGTATTTCGGTTTCATTAAAGCATATTGATGTCTAAACAATGCCGGCTTAACAATTACAAACAATTAAATTATTTAATTAGTCCCTATAAGATATTATATAAATACCTACAAGGTATTAAGGATCTTACAAATATTGAGTATTAATGTAGCTTCTTTAAGGATATTTTCCTATATAAGTTTTAAGTAACTTATCCTATAAAATGCGACTTATCCCTACCTCATGCAATGTAAGGTTACCAAAACTCTTTATCACTCCTAATTCTGTTAGGTAATTCTTCAGGTAAGTATGTTTTACTTTCCCTATTCGATGACTTGGCTTGAATCAGGCAACCAAAAAATTGTACTTAAAGCGCTTACTATACAGCTTACAGCTTCCCTCGGCGAGAGCTCCACTCAAGGAGTATTTGCACTCAGTCGCATTAGTGGCTGCTACATTGAATTTCTCCGGCTCTGACACAGCTCCTTAGGTGGATGGAAAAGGTGGTTGGCGGGGGACTTGGAGGATATTGGAGAAGACATCCCATTTTGGGGGGAAACGAGGTCTCGCTGAGAGCTTTGCGTCAGCAGGGAGGAAGGAATGGCCCGGGAATAAGGATAGGTGGGATTGTGTGTTGCTTGAGCTTGCTCTTTGTGCGGAGCATTTGAGTCCAAAATCCCAATTCAGATCCAGCAATCAGTTGCGACTGTCAGGCGGCGGCAGAAGGAAGTTCACTTGCTGCACGAGGCACAACACAGAAATGTGATTAATGATGTCGCATCCACATCCACATACCCATCCCCATCCCCAACCACCACGACCACCAATGCGAAAGCACACACCACCAGCCCGTCTGTGTGTGGGATGTTCTTTGTTTTCGCTATGCTTCTTTAAGCCAGCCATCAAAAGTTTCTGATATAAAATTAAGCAAGCCCAAGCCGATCGAAAAGTATTATCCGGAATGGGTGGGATCCAGTCCATTGATTAGTGGACTAATGCTAGCAATTAAGAACAAGCTAATAACAAGAAAGAAAAGCTAACTTCGGGCGGAGCCGAAGTTTATATACCCTTGCAGTTAAAACCGGATATATATCGCAAACATCGGATATAGTTGGCCGATCCTTATGGGAATAGGAATATATAATCCAATTTTTTACAATACAAAATCTAAAAAAAGTCCCAAACTTCTATCTTCAAAAATACGAAAGTTGATATTTCTACCAAAAACCATTTCCGATCGTTCAGTTATATGGCAGCTATAAGATATAGTCGGCCGATCGTTATGAAATTTGGTAGATCGGATTAACTGACCAAGAATATAATCTGTACCAAGTTCCAGCTTTCTATCTTTAAAAACACGAAAGTTGGGTCAGTTCCGATCGTTCAGTTATATGACAGCTCTAAGATATAGTCGGCCGATCCTTACGAAATTTGGCATGTCGTATTATTTTGCCAAAAATAGCGCTCGTGTAAAATTTGAACTCTCTAACTCTAAAAACACCGAAGTTATACCATTTCCGATCAATCAGTTATATGGCAGCTATAGGATATAGTCGGCCGATCCGGGCCGTTCCGACTTATATACTGCGTGCAAAGGAAAGAAGGGTGTGTGCAAAGTTTCAAGTCGATAGCTTTAAAACTGAGAGACTAGTTCGCGTAGAAACAGACAGACAGACGGACAGACGGACAGACGGACATGCTCATATCAACTCAGGAGGTGATCCTGATCAAGAATATATATACTTTATAGGGTCGGAGATGTCTCCTTCACTGCGTTGCACACTTTTGACCAAAATTATAATACCCTCTGCAAGGGTATAATAAGATTGAAAAATATGTTCAGACTACCCAGATGCTTTAAATATTGTTTAAAGTTTGTTGTTACTTGAGGGTCTTTGTTCCAGAGACTTGGATCTAAAATTTAGAAGCCCTTAGCTGGCTTATTGATGCAAAAATTCCTGTTCAATTTTCCTCCTTAAATATAATCAGAGCTGAGAAATTCCACCCACATTTTATCACCCCCTCCGCAATTCACTCACAGCTTTCGGTTAGCGACTGGCATTCCAATCAATCTGGTATGGAAATTGTGTTAACGACATGTTGACAAGTCGTTGTAGACTCAGCCTAACCAGAAGAACTCCGGGGGAATGGGATGTTGATTAGCTAGAGACCTTCGGGGAAAAACTGGAGGAGTCTTCGCCGGAGGAGGAGGAGGCTTCCAGCGAAAACAACAGGACAATGAAGGCGGCCAGGCCAGGAATCGCTTGCCAAATGATTGATTGAGTGATTAATGATTGACTGGCTGGATGAACGGCTCTCGAGTGTATGCATCTCAGAAATTAAAGCCCAATCAGACTCTTACAGTCATTAAAGTCAGATTTACAATACCAATCGAAAGTTTTGCATTTATGTACCTTCTCACGTCCCAAGAGACATTCGGAGATGGTGGACCTGAAACAATTAAATGTGGTCCAAAGCGTTTCTGGCCATTTATCAACGGCCCCAACTGTTTACCTGTCATATTATGCCCAAATCGGGCCTAGATGGGCCCATGTCCACAGCGGAGATGAATGTTTAACGAAATTTACACTGTGGCTGTTTAAAATAATTACACGAATCACTTAAATGAGTCGAAGCCGATCGCTTTGGGGGTACCCACGGAATACGGAGACTGGAACTGGAACTGGACAGGCACCCATTACCATGACAGATTATCTCTGATTGATTTCATTTTGCCGTCCGGTCGCTGCACAAACCCATAATGGAGCCTCGGACCCGGGGACTTAAGACACATCTCGTCGATTTCAGCTGCATGTGGACCACTCGGGGGCTTCGGGCTAAAAGCGAACCACCGATCGCCTTTTGCCGCCAATTGGCTGAAAAGATGAAACCGTAATTGCCTCGCATTAGCTCTAAAACTTAAGAAATCTTCTCCAAATTATGCTTAATGATCCAAGCTGTTTAACTTTTGTTTTGTTTTGTTAGTCA